GTAAAGGTGGCCAATAGCACTTTATGTGCTTCAAATCACGGAAAAACCTCAAACAATTTTTTAGTCTCAAGGACCCATGCTTCAGCTTTTAACGGTTCAAGGCCTCCCTGAAAGGATGGCGGTTTCATTTTGCTGAACTTGTGGGTGAGAGCAATTATGTCCCCATCATTAACATTGGCATTCTATTCCGGCTGTACCGGAGGAGGAGGTGGCGGCTGTGGATTCTGTTGTTGGTCCAGTCTTTCAGTTATTAATTCCATCATTCTTTCCAGTCTTGCCATTCTTACCTCAGAGGATGGGGTTTCAGATTCATTTACAGTTCTCGCATCATCCATTTCACTATAGACAGTTATAACAGTTATCAACATAGGCAGTCATTTATTTAAACAGATTAACACATTACCATATATTCAGTCATGTCATAGCCACACACTTATCATGCTCATGTAACGCCCTAATCGCTTTTCTAGGACATCCTATAGCTCATTTGGACACGTGTGTGCGGTATAACTCGTGGTAAGTATCGCTCTGATACCACTCTGTCACGACCCAAACCCACCCCAATCAACAGATAGAAAATGCATTTAAACAGATACAGTCAGTCAATCAGTTTCAGATTTTATAGTAATACAGAGTACATGGGCTGGCGGAAGCCAATACAGTAATTAAACAATGTCCAATGAGCTGTGATAATCTGTATGCAAAAAGACTTTTCATTCATATATATACAGTCAGACAAAACAGTAGGTACATATATACAATCATTCAGTTTAGGGACCTAATCCCTATTAAACAGTATAGTAACAGTCTAAACAGTCGCACAAAACAGATACAGAGACAGATAGGGAAATTAAAAACACCCCTAAGCCGTAGCTTGACAGGCTCGGAACCTCGCATTGAGGCACATAGGTTGGCTCGACAAAACTGGAGTTTACCCCGATGCTCCTAGCTGCGGTCTGGTGCCTGTACACCTACATATATGTATGAGTAGTGAGCTAAAGCCCAGTGAATAACACAATGCGTAAATGGGTTAAGAATGAATGTCCTTACAGTAATGAAAACAGTTCATTAAATCAGTATTTCAGTCGTTCAGTCGATACAGTCATATGTGGTACATCTATTAGCATAACAGTACAGTAAACAGTAGGTCTTGAAAGACCGAACAGTAAATGATGGCCATCAGTCAGTAACAGTAGTGGTTCCAACGAGGGAACCGACAGAGATCTCTGTAACAGTAACAGTAACAGTAAACAGTAGTTGCTAAGGATGCCACAATACAGTTCAGAATATAGGACATACATTCATTCAATTAACAGTATCAGTTTAGAAAGCAGTACATTTCAATTGTTCAGAAGATAATCATTTTGAACATATCTTTACACAGTTGTTGCTCACAGAGTTCTGGGCTACAGTAAAGCTAGAGCGCGTCCCCAGTGGCCAACCCTACACAGTTACAGATTGAACACACACTAAGCTACACAGTTGGGAAAATAATAACTTAATCCCTAATTTGCCTCGGCGTGTTCTACATCTATATCCTCATTAAGATGTCTTAAACTAGGCCTAAGAATGCCTAGGATGAGATGAGGATGCAAAGATGCACTTGAAAAACATTTTTAGAATTTTCAGAAAACAAGGGTTACGCTCGAGCGTAGGTTGCTCCGCTCGAGCGAACATGCAGACAAAGGTTTCCGCTCGAGCGTAGACTTACCCGCTCGAGCGTTCTGCAAAACAGTCAAAAGTGCTAGATAGGCGAAAATCACGCTCGATTGGGCGCGCGACACCCGCTCGAGCATGAGACACAATGTACCGCTCGAGCGTCAATTATTCCGCTCGAGCGGACTTCAAAACAGAACAAGATGCTAGGAGCACGATTTCCACGCTCGCGCGCCAGTCACCCCGCTCGAGCGTGAGTCCAAATTCTGGAAATTCCAGATTTGAACCTCAAGCTCAAAACCAAGTTTTAAACCATAAATTTCGATCCTCTTGGGCCAATTTTCCAGAAAACACATCAAAACTCATACTTTAACATGATTCAAAGCTCAATGTGTAAAATCGAGGCCCAAGGGTGTTACAAACAACTCAATTTGAAACCAATTTTCATGAATATGAAGAACATGCAAACATGCATGAATTTCAACCATTTCAAAGCTCAATTTCATGCTCTAATGAGCCAATTCCTTCCAAGGACAAGATGAAAACATGGACTTAACTTAACTATGAGCATGCATGTGACAATTCTCCATAGAATCAACTCAAAATTCAACAATATAGGCATGCATGCATGAATTAAGCTATAATTCAACAATTAAGAACCATAACTTGGCTCTAGACTTCAACTTGCTCAAAACCATGCAAGAATCAATTCAAAACATACACCAGAGGTAATGAATCTACCTTAGGTCTTGTAGTTCAAGATGTATAAGCTCAATTTTGCAAAGAACTCTTCAATTTACTTCAATTACCAAGCAAAACTCAAGATGAAGCTAAGCTTTCTCCTTTCTCTCCCTCTCTCTCGGTTAAGTGACACTTAATGGCTGATGAAATGTTTGTACAAGGCTCAACAATAGTCCAAGTAGTGGGTCACTAGGCGGCACTAATGTAAATAAGGCCAACTATGTAATTTATCAATATTTAATCTAATTTAATCATACCAAATCAGTTATCAGATAAATATGCCATAAATTCACATTCATTCTAACGATCATAGAACATCAATCAATTTCATATTCGGCCGCCGATAAGGCCTTCAATTTCACAAATTAACCATAAAAACACGAACAGATCAATTAACAAGCAACAGATAAAAATACATTTAAACAGATACAGTCAGTCAATCAGTTTCAGATTTCAGTCAGTTAGTTCAGTATTTCAATCAGTTCAATTACTTCAGTTATCAATCACAATCAATCTCAGTTTAGCAGTAATCAGTGGTTAATCGGTAAACAGTGACGAGGGTTGTTACAATTATGTATCATTAGGAACCAAAAAGTCTCCCTTGAAATTTCAATACTGAGTCTTCAATTGTGAATCAGGGTTTTGGTTTGGCTTCAAACTCATCACAAATCTTCTTCAGAAACTCATCATTCGTTTGCTTTTGTTTGATTTCTTCAATAATTGCTGGTTGTGGGACATTGCAGCTATCAAGCTATTTTGTTCAAAAGGTACTACTTCTATGTCATGCTTTTCAAATTCTTGTAGTAACTCTCTCTGATCTGTGAGAAAACAAGCTAGGTTCCCTATATTCTTTATATTGAGTACATCAGCTGCTGTGTTGGACTTACTCGGATGATAGTGGATTTGTAAATCATAGTCCTTGATTAGTTCAAGCCATCATCTATGTCGCATATTCAATTCCTTATGTGTAAAAAAGTACTTCAAGCTTTTACGATCGGTGTACACTTCACATTTAGCTCTATATAGGCAGTGATGCCATATCTTCAATGCAAACACAATTGCAGTAAGTTCCAGGTCGTGTGTTGGATAGTTTTTCTCATGTAGTCTCAATTGTCGGGAGGCATAAGCAATCACCTTGCTATTCTGTATTAAGACATAACCCAAACCCTTATCAGATGCATAACTATAAATTACAAATCCTTTCGTACCTGAGGGTATAGTAAGGATTGGAGCTGTGGTCAATCTTGTTTTCAGTTCTTGAGAAGCTGATTTGCTCTATTCTATCCACACAAATGGTTTCCCTTTTTGAGTCAATTGAGTCAACAGTACAACAATTTTTGAGAAGTCTTTAACAAATCTGCGATAATAGCTTGCCAATCCAATAAAACTGTAAACTTTTGTCACATTACTCAGGGTAGGCCAATCAACAATTGCTTCTATCTTATGAGGGTAAATAGAAATACCATCTTTTATCAATGACATGTCCCCAAAATGCAATCTCATTTAACCAGAATTCACACTTTTTTGAATTTCCCATACAATCGTTTTTCTCTAAGTGTTTGAAGGGTCATTTTCAAGTGTTCATTACTAGAAAAAGGGGTATAAGACACGGAAGCTTTTGCGATGGCAAATAAAGCAGTGGCAAAATTATTTTTTTTGCAACGAAAATCTAAGACTACGGCAAAAAGTAAGATTACATGCGACGGTTATTTAACTGTGGAAAATTTTTTTTCCAGTTTTTTTTATTTTGCAACGCTTTTTGTTTGTCCGTCACAAAATATTTTATTTTTGCTCATTCATTCGCGACGGTCGTTAGCATTGTCGCAAATCCTAATCCCTAAATTCGTGCCCACCTCCCACACCTTGTCGCTCCCTCTTTTCCACTTTTCCCAAACTTTCTGCATTGTCTAGGATAAAAAAACAAAAACCCCAGTCTTCCGCCCTAATGTCACTCTTTCTTTCTTGCGGCCAGTCGATCGTCACTCTCTCTCTCTCTCTCTCTCTCTCGCAGCAGTAGCAATAACAACAACAAGACTAGCGTGGGCTCGTCCAGGTAATCCTCCTCTTGCTCGCGCAGGCCCCCACAATTTCTCTCTCGCTCTCGTGTTACCCTCACAGATTGTCTGTAGCAGTCGTGGTCACATTGACTATGAAACATTGATTGACCTCACGGTCCCATTGATCGACCTTTGTGGTCCTATTGATATTGAAATATTGTTAATCTATTGGATGTATCAAGTGAAACGACTATTGCTATTGTGCTATTATTGGACCATTGTGAATGGAATTGAAATGGGAATTGTATTGAAATATTATCCAACTTCATTCAGAAATGCCCTTAGTAAAAGAAGCTTTATGAAAAGCTATTAGTGTTAATTCAATCTTGTGGTTGAGAATATAAAAGACCATGCTTCAGTTTCCGTGCCATTGTAAAACAAGAGATCTAATAGTAGTAGGAACTATTTTGCGGCTAAAAGAATCAATTGTTGCATTGTAGCTGTAAAGTGTGAATGCAGAAAAGAGTTTTAGCAGGTTTAATATACAATTTATCTGTCAGAGTTGTGATGAAATTCTAATTGTAAATGTGAAAGGAATTTGATCAGGTTGCCTCATAACCTGTGAAGATGGTTCACAAGAAACATACAATGGATGCATAATGGCCACCCATGCTCCAGATGCTTTGAAAATTTTGGGAAAACAAGCAACATATGATGAAATGAGGATACTTGGTGCTTTTCAATATGTCTATAGGTACTGCCTTTGCTTTCCTTGTCAATTTTGTATTAGATCTTTCTAAAATTAATATAATGCACACCTACCTCTTACCTTAAAACAACAAAGATACATATGCTGAATAACTCTTTTATCTTTCTTTATGTTTAATAGTAAACAATGAAGAAATAAGTCTGTGCTTACTTCATATACTGCTTGTTTATGCTATGTATGAGGTGGGAAAAGGGCTTAGTGTTATCTTAATTTGCATCTCCTTTACAGAAGTTGGATCAAGGCAAGATTTTAACTCGAGGTTCTTAGACTGACTAGTATTTTCTTCCTTTCAAAGAATAAATGGTAAGAGAAGAAAAGAACAGAGTTAAGAGTAAAAAGAACAGAAGGATAGGATAAGAGAAGCGGAAGAAGTGTAGATGTGTGTATCTGAGAGAGGGAGTTATTAACAATGCCTTCCAAATAAATTCTTTTTTAAATTATCTTGATGCATAAGAATCATATGATTGCGACCTTTGGAATTAGGATATTTGTAGACTTCATTTTGACTGGAGTTCATAAGTACTATAATGTCCACCAATTTGAAAGGTTAGTACTAGAGAATAATACTTTTATGATGTTTTGGTTTGATTGGTTTTATTTTCCTTTTGGGTTATGTTAAGTGAGTATTGAAAATGATGCTAGAGTTCTCCTTTAGTTTATCATCAATGCACAATCATTCTTTTAACTCTTTATGGCAGTGATGTTTTTCTTCATTGTGACAAAAATTTAATGCCCAAAAACCCAGCAGCATGGACTGCATGGAATTTTCTTGGAGCTATGGATAACAAAGTATGTGTGACATATTGGCTCAATGTGCTCCAGGTTTGTAACACATTCTCCTCATGTGAACTGGAGTTGTTTTTATATTTTCATCAGTACATGACATTAGAATGTGGTGATGCCGCAATGCTGATATGTCGTAGAGCAGCTAATATGCTCAAGATTTTTCAATCCACCATAATATGTATTTAAGCTAGTCATAGTCTCAGTCATTACGCAAAAAATAAATGGACAGGCAAGTAAATTTCTACTTCTACAAAAAATGAAGCGAACTCCAAAACAGAATGAGGAACACCTTAAATCCCTGCTTTAAAATATATGAATACAACATAGAGCAACAATAGTTTGGGTTTCTGATTTGTAATTTTTTTGGTCTAGGTTTCGACTTCTAATACGAGATTAAGATTGCTTCCTGCAAATGGGTATTTGGGCAATCGTCAATTCAATGTGTTGAATGAGTTCTCCAAACAAGTTAAAGGCGAAGCTAACAAGTTTTGTTTTTTGTTTTTTTTAAGTAACTTGAATATATGTCAATAATTGTCTGAAACCTTAAAAAAGAGATTATTTTTTTTTTCTTGTTACATTGGAACATATATTTCTGGGTGTTTAGTTGGTTCTTTATTAGCTTAGTTCTTTTGTTTTTCCCACTTAAAATGAAGGCTACAAATATTGACTTATTACTAAGCTAAGAATACTACTTCTGTTAGTAAATTATTATCATTTTTTATTTGTTCATATAACATGTTGGCATTTTTAGGGCCTTAAAACCCATTTGAAATCCTTCAGGAAGGATGTTTCTTTAACACTATGAAATGATTTGACGTCACTATATTTGCAAACAGTTTTTTTGTTACGCATCATTTGAGCATTCTTTCTGTATGATTACTCCACACATTCTGTTTGCAATTTATTGTCAAATTTATATACCTTGTGCTATTTTCAATCCAATAATATTTAAAATGTTAAAGATACAAAGGTTAAAATTTTAATGAAATAAATATGGTGTAATATTACATGGGTCAAGTCAATCAAACCTAATGGTTCTACAATTATTATTATTTTTAAACTTGTTTTGAACAAAAAGCATACACGACTTTTAAAGTGTTTTACGGTTTAAAATAAATGATTCCACTTAATTCTTCCGATTCACAATGATATTCTTGATTTGACAACTATGATTGTGAGATTTGAATGCACAGTCTGTTGACTTCTCAAAACATGCATATCTTAAACTAAACATAGATGTCATCATCTACTATCTTAACAACATTTATTGCTAAATGTTGCTCATTTTGGTTGGTTCTAATATTTATATAACATTTCCAAAGTATACTACTTTTAGACTCTGTTATCAGAATCTTACGATTCGCGATTCGATTCACGATTCGATTCACAATTTTTGCAAAATCGATACGAATCTATAGGTGAATCTTTCTTTTATCAAAATCTTACGATTCGCGATTCGATTCACGATTCGATTCAAATTTTTTGCAAAATCGATACGAATCTATGGGTGAATCTATTTTGGAAGTAAATCTCTAGTGAATCGCACGATTTACAATCGATTTACGATTCAATTCACTTTTTATGATTCATGTAATTTTTTAAATTATTGTGATCGGCATATTTTCGACTATTTTTTTCTCCATGTTTTTAGTGAAAATGACATAATACAACTTTTAATAGCATTTAATACTAAAAAAATAACATATATACATAATTTGTTGTTATTTTAGTGATCATGAAGTTTTTAATAGAATCCAATCAGATTCAGTTAGACTCAACATATTTTTAACCTTTCTTTTCATTTTTTTTTTCCCTTTAAAAATTCATAATATATCTTCTAAAGATGTTTAAGATTAAAGTTAAAATATGAATTATCTATTGCTATTTTATTAAATTGAATATAATTGAATATTACATATGTGATGTCTGTTATACCTTTGAAAATGTTTTAGGCTTTAAAATAAAATATTCTAAATAATTCTTTCTTATTATTTGCTCACTGTTACTTAGAAAAGTACGTATGCTTATTGTCCAAATATCAATATCGTTATTAATTATTGTTATTTTGAAAATTGATAATTTGTTTATTTGGTTATTATCTTTATTAAGAATGGTTGATAAGAAATATCTAAAAAGTAAGATAGTGATCTTATATAAGAATCTTTGTTAACTTCTTACCTATTAAACTACGTGATTATCATGCAAAATAACATTTTCATTGATTTAAGTCTAAATATTTCATATTCATAAGATATATTTAGCATCTAAATGTATAAATATATATTTTTAAGTAATTTTAAAAAAGTGACCGAATCTTTACGATTCACGATTCGATTCGATTCGCGATTCGGTACAAGGTCATTTCGATTCACGATACGAATCTCGATTTGACAACTATGCTTTTAGACCTGTAGAACAAGCATAAAATGCTGACCAAAATTGCATAATAAATGGCCTCATCATTAGCAGTACAAAAAATGGAGTTATTACATAATCACAGCTTTAATAAAATTGTCATTGTCTCCCAAACCAAGAGCTCTTTTTTGAAATTAATATGTTCATTCGTTCCATAATGTTTCTTGACATACAGAATCTTTGTGAGACAGGGCTACCTTATCTGGTAACTCTAAATCCATCACATACCCCAGAACATACACTGCTCAAGTGGTCAACCGGCCATCCATTCCCATCAGTTGCTGCATCAAAAGCATCATTTGAGCTTGATCACATTCAAGGGAAAAGAGGAATATGGTTCTGTGGAGCATACCAAGGTGAGTTTGTTTCATTGTTGCTGGACTGGGATGATGTTCACAGCGTTGATTTCTGTTTATGGCGTGGCGTCTTCTGTGACAATGTCACCCTATCTGTTGTTTCTCTGTATGTGTTTTCTGTTCATGCTTACTTTTCTTCCTCTTTGGCCATTTGATTCTACTAGAGTTTTTTTATTTTTTTTTATTTTTAATGTATATATATATATTTTTATTATATTTGTTTGTTGAAGGAATTTGTCAAATTTGAACTTGGGTAGGGAGCTTTCACCAGCCATTAGAGACTTGAAGAATCTACGGTTCATGTAAGCTTTCTTTGCTAATCCTGTTGATTTGGTGTTTTTGCTCATTGTAACCAGGTTAACATAATACTAACTTTAGATGTTATAGTTGAAATATTTTCAAGGATTTTCAGGGGAACAAATTAACTGGTCAAATTCCTGATGAGATAGGCAACTGTGTTTCTCTGATGCTAGTGTAAAATTTCATCTTCTTTCTTCATTGCAATTTTATTTACATATATGTGGATGTATTAATATCTTCTTCCGTCTGTAGGTGATTAAGATTTTTAGTCTTATTTTAATGATTTATTATTTTTTTTAATATCTTATTTTTTAGTTTGTAATGATTTTAATGATTCTCGATTCGATTCAATTCACGATTCAGAAAATTACAATTTTATTTATTTATTTATTGAAATAAATATAAAATGTTTTACATTTTCTGTAAGTTTGAAATTAATTATATTGTAAATGATGATTTTTTTTTTTTTTTGGCATCTTTTTGCAGATGCAACCCTTTTGAGTACGTGATGATAACTTCGCATATCGATATTGGAGCTTACTGTTGATATTAAAACAAGCTATAATATATATATATATATGTTTGTATTATCGATACTTTTGTTTTATTTTAGATACAAAAATTTGAGTTCTTGAATTATTAATAATTATTAATATTGATGGAGGATGTTTTATATATTTTTGTAAAGAATATTTGTTTGAAAATTGTTACAGGGTATGTATATATTATTATTTGTATGATTTTGTGGATGTGGATGTATTTTATTTTAGAAAATATTAATAATTTGTACAGGAAATAAATTAAAAAAAATATATTTATTTTATGAAAATAATTTTATTGTGACAATAATAAACTGTCGCCAATGTAATTATCATTTTCTTACATTTTATTAGCAACGGGTTAACCTATTACATATACATATTAGTTCAAATCTTTAGCGACGGTTTAAACTGTCGCAAATAAGATCAAAATGTAATTCTAATTTTTTGGCGACGTTTTAGACTGTCACTAATAATACTTTTCACGACATCAAATACCGTCGCTACAAAAGTTTTTGGCGATGGCAACCAAAAGCATCGCTAAAAGAGAAGTTTTTCCCCATTTTTTGTGTCAGTTTAAACTGTCGCAAAAACCATTGATTTATCGTCGCTACAAGAAAGCGACGGTTTGTAACCGTCGCAAATATCTTTTGTCACGTCCCCTTCCACCATCCTCCATTTCCCGTCGCTACTCCGTCGCAAAAAGTTTTTTGCGACGACATGTGAACCTTTTGTGACGTTTAAGACCGTCGCAAAAGCTTCGATTTTTAGTAGTGGTTGTTCATGTTCATCTCTACTTTGCGAATAAACCAAAATATCATCGATAAACACAACAATGAATTCATCCAAGAAAGGTTTAAAAACTCTATTCATTAAATCCATGAATGTGGCTGGTGCATTAGTGACTCCGAAAGACATAACTAGAAATTCATAGTGCTCATACTTGGTTCGGAAAGCCGTCTTTTCAATGTCTTCAGCACTTACTTTTAATTAATGATATCTCGATCCCAAATCAATTTTCAAAAATATTTGAGCCCCCTACAACTGATCAAATAAATCATCAATATGTAGTAATGGGTATTTATTTTTCACACTTACCTTATTGAGTTCCCGATAATCGATACATAGACGAAGAGTGCCATTTTTCTTCTTTACAAAAGAACTGGCACACCCCACGGCGAAGTACTCGTGCAAATAAACCCTTTGTCAAGCAATTCGTGCAACTAAATTTTCATTTCTTTCATTTCACTAGTAAACATGCGGTAGGGAGTTTTAGATATTGGTTGTGTACTCGGTATTACATCAATTGTAAATTCAATTATCGACTACTTGTCCAGGCAATTCATTCGGAAACACATCAGGAAAGTCCCTCGCCACTGGCATATTGTCTAGGGTAATGTCCATGGTCTCTTTAGTCGTTACACTACACAAATACCCTTGATAACCCTTATTAGTTTTTGGGCTTTTATAGCAGATATAAGATACGGTGGTGGAACTACACCCTTTCCCTCAAAATAAAATTCATCCTATCCAGGAGGTTAGAATATCACTCATTTTAAAGTACAATTAATGGTTGAATGGTATTTACATAGCCAATCCATACCTAAAATAACATCAAAATGTCTCATGTCTACGGGTATTAAATTAGCATACAAAACAACATTTCCAAGTAATAATTCACATATAGCATATACAGATGAACATAACATAGATCCCTCTCCCTCTCCGGTAGGTGATGCAACACACAATATATATCTCAATGTTTCGATAGGTTTATTCAGATTTTCAGCAAATACCATAGAAATAAACAAATGTGTAGATCCCGAATCAATTAAGACATATGCAGGTTGACCACAAATAGAAATTGTACCTGACACTACTACTTCTGTATTTTGAGTATCCCCTGGTACGAGAGCAAAAACCCATCCTTGTCTCAAATCATTTCTTGTTGTGGACGGTGTTGCAGTTGGTTTTGTTGTGGGAACTGATCCAGTTGAGCTTGTAGCTCCTCGATTACCACCTTGACGTGACTGTGTACAATCTTTTGCCATGTGCCTGACCTTTCCACACTGATGATAGGCCCCCATGGTGCGATAGCATACCCCGGTGCTTCTTTCCACAAATAGTGCAAGTAGGTATTTGTAGCTTGCTTTTCGTGCTCCTTTCGGATACGACTAGCTCTACAGTTCGGACTCCTGTGGTTCTGAATCTGATTTTACAAGTGCAATGTGAAATAGTGAAAACACAAAAAGAGTCCAAATTCGACAATTCTTTTGAAAAATCTATTTGAATAAAAAATGCCAAAAATAGACTGCATTGCTAGATTTCAGAGTCGCTATCTAAATGTTTTTGAAAAATTTAGGAAACCCATGACTCGTGTCAAAGGCTACTTATCCGTCATCATCAAAGTGTCTCGGCTCAGGAACTTACGTACGAGAGGGGAAGGTCATAAATTGAGCACCTTAGTCGCCCGATCAAAGATTAACCTCTACTAATCATGATGTGATTTTTATTTACATTATATATTCTTATTCCGATTATTAGACTAACATTACTATGTGTTGCACACAAGCATAGACTAATTTGCAAAAGTTGGAACGCTTTGATTTTATGTTTGTTTGAAAATTGTTTTGAATACGCGTCACTTGAAAATGTGAGTTTGTACATTAACCTTCATCCACAGGCATTCAAACGAGTATATCACTTAAGTATTTAGCCTCATGGAAAGCATGCTCGATATGGTAACACAAATATACTATGTGATATGCTAAAACAATAAGTGCTCACCTAGTACTCAAAGGCAAGCCAAATAGAGAAGAATGATTAGAAAACATGCATGTTCCTAAACCATACAACGTGACTAATGCAACGCACACATTTATGCCACTTTAATAGGCTCGGCTATGAGCATGGCATATGATCCAATTCCAAGACATGTGATAAATCACGTATTCAAACAATGAAAGTGAAATTGACATTGGTTAGTATGATGAGCCGAACCCAAATACAAGTGAGACGAGTGTATGTGAACATGAGAAATGCTAAGAAACATGATGCTATGCACTACCATTATAAGCGGGTAAATAAAAAGGGAGTAAAAAATGGAGGTTGGAAGACATATACGCTATTACATATTTGTCCTCATGCAAGAGGGTCCAAATAAATGTCCAAGTGGCCAAATTAAACTAACTATTACAAAACCAAATGAATGAATAAACAACTAGTTAGCTAAGTTATTACAACAAAGACTAGTAATAAGAAATAAGCTAGCTACCTAATTTATTACAACAAGGATGAACAATAAAACTAACTATCTAAGTTACTCAACAATAAACATTCATAATCATTACAGTAATGCTAATTATATTTAATTACAATGATAATGAGAGCATTAATTTACAACATTTGATAGAACCAAGAAGCACACGGATGGCATGCACCTGACAGTTTTCAGAAGCAACTCTGTCTGCCTTCCTTGGAATTTGCCCTGTTTCACCTTCAGCCACTGCCCTCTATTTTTGCATAACACTCTGTTTACCAATCATTGGGGCCCGACCGGCCCCCAATGAAGCCTGGCCGGGTCCAAATAGGGCTGGCCGTGCCCTAATTTCATGCAAAACTCTGTTTTTGTGCTCTGAGGTGAAAACAGTGCAGACAGAATTTTCTGAGTCCTGTTTGTCCCTCTTACACTTCTTTGTCATGGAAAGCCTCAAGAGAAGGATGAAGTCAGTTCCAAAACCATCAATGAGCAAGTTGTTTGCTTGATGATTTCGGCCACGATTTGAACAAAAATCAATGAATGTAATGAATCGACACCAACCCCTCCCCTTTATCATGGAGTGAGCTCAAAGGGGGAAGTAAAGATGCTTCAAGGGTCGTCAAAACACCATAAATTGATGTGTAACGACTCTTGACACAACAGACTCGGCATAACGTCCGGCCAAGCCCAAGCCACCTTATTCATTTTCTTTATGTAGGTTGATCCAATTTCAAGCGAAGTTCATTAGTCTTGTCCATTCTTTAATCCATTTGTCCAAGGTGATAGTTAAGTCTGCTAAATGAGAAGAACGTCAAGTGAGAGGTACTCCTAATATATGAAGGAGTGACCATGCCTCTGACGATGAACTTCTGTAGAGATTAAGCCATTAAGCATAGGTCTCTAGCTCATATTTTGAATAACCATCAATCGGTTGAAATAACTCTCAGACAAGAAGAAAAGAAGAAAGGGGGGAGGGGGAAGATTGCAGACATGATTGCAAGATTGATTCTTGATTAACCATAGAAATGCTATCAAAGCATGTATAACACAACATCATAAGTTAGATATGAAGACTTACAATACAACAAGCTTTGATATTCAAGCATATACTAATTAAATAAATTGCAAGAACCCTAAAACAGCCCCTAATATGCTAAAAACAGTGACCAAAAATCTTGTTGGAGAGTATAAAAAAGGTTGGAAAGTAAAAGGCAAAGCAAAGCTAGTGAACAAAAAGCAAGGAGAGGTGGCTAACCTCTCCATTTTTAAGACTTCAAACCATAATTTTTTAGCCTTTTCCAACCTCTGAAAATCAGTTTAAAAGGCAAAAAAGAGAGTGTAAAAGCAAGGGCTTGAGCTATGAAATAAGGTGCTAGAGAAGGTGTTAACCTTCTTTACCCTTTGGTAGCTATCCAAACCTAAGTTTAAACACTTGAAATGGATTCAAGACAGCATAGAAACACAAGAAGTAGATAGCAAGAGATAGAACAAGAAGTAAAAGAGAAGGTGATAAGCTTATACCTCTCAAACAAGTAAGCTCTTATTTGTAACACAAACT